ATATATATATATATATAAAATCTTTTTATCTTTCCCTTAGTTTGAGTTCAGATACACCCGGAAGTGCACCCGAATCCCTCAAACCAAGGCTCTGATACCAACTTGTAACATCCCTAAATACAACTCAAAATTATTTATTTATTTATTTATTTTTATATATAATAAAATCATATGCTGAACGTCATATCATAAATCCATACGTCAAATATCTCAAACCATAATAAAATGTCGTGATACAATTGTATCAAATCAAACTAAGTATCAAAACAATCTCCCAAGACAAAAACTGAAGCTGTGGTGTGTGCGATGCCATCAACCCGAGCTCTTCCCTTTGCTTGCGGAAGTACCTGAAACCAAAACTGAAACTGTCAGCACGAAGCTTAGTGAGCTCCCCCAAATTACCACATACCATGCAAACATAAAACAACTACTGGGCCTTGCCCACTGCATCGGACCGAAGTCCGGAAACTGCATCGGACCAAAGTCCGGAACTAACCAGGGCCTTGCCCTCTGCATCGGATCGAAGTCCGGAACTACTGAGGCCTTGCCTCCTGGATCGAACCGAAATCCGGAACTAACTGCATCGGACCGAAGTCCGGAACTGACTGCATCGGACCGAAGTCTGGAACTGACTGCATCGGACAGAAGTCCGGAACTACTAAACATAGCATAGCATAAGCATATCAACTAACACAACAACACATAACACACAAACCTATCTAAGCCATAAAGGCTTCAAACATACTAACTACTACATCGGACTAAGGTCCGGAAACTACTGCTAGCTAAACGGGCCGGCATTGTGGCCTTAGACTCGTTCCTACTGGAAGGAAACTCACCTCGTGAACTGGTTGCTGAGTGTATGGCTTTGGAAGCTATCTGCTGCTGCTCCAGTATCTCCCCGGCTACAATTCCACAAACACACTCAATCAAATACTAATAACTACATTGGGGTAAAATGACTCTTTTACCCCTGCCTAAAGTCAACTCTCCCGGTCAAAGTCAACTTACAGTTGACTTGACTCACCGAGTTGGGCCGCCAACTCGCCGAGTCCCTACTCTCACTTCTCAACCCTGTTCATTGCTACTCGTCGAGTATGGCATCAACTCGACGAGTTCCCTTTCGATTCTAGAACTCAGGCTATCTGCATCCGACTCTCCGAGTTTTATGAACAACTCGACGAGTTGTTCTTGAATCTATGAAGATTGCCTTAGAGTCGCCGAGTTGTATGAACAACTCGTCGAGTCCCTCCATTACTGAGTCTGACCTCTGGCTCACTGAGTCCATTCTACTACTCACTGGTCCCCACTCGGAATCACTCAAAGGGGAAAAATCGGGGACTCGCGGCTCGACTCGCTGAGTCCAAAGAACGACTCACCGAGTTGCATGCATGCAGTTACTAAAAACTCGATTCTGCTTGAATCTAGCGCATATAACTTGTAGATCTGGGCTTCTTATGCTCGATTAACACGTAAAGATTCTATCTTTACGTGACCATAAGCATCCATGAAGATTAAAAGGCTCAAAAGGCATAATAAAGGCTAGATCTAGGGTTCTCATGCAAGGCAACTCGAAAAAGGAAATAGATCAGGGCTCTAAAACTCCTAAATGAACAGATCTAGGGATATCTCGACCCAACAAGGCATCCATACAACTATAAAGCTTGGAAAATACATTAAACTGGCCTTAGAGGTGTTATAATGGAGGTTTTAAGCACAAAACAGAATGATTCTGAGATATACCTCAATGAACTCTGACTTTGGCCTTGGATCTTTGCTGTACACTTCCTCTTTTTTATCCTTTCTTCTTCTTCTTCAATCCTTCAAAAATCCACACAAAACACTTTAATCATACAAGGAATGGTTTAGGGTTTCTGACAAGCTCTCTGAGGGTGAAGGAGGCGAGTTGGGGCATAAAGCATTGCTTAAATAGTGAGCAAACCCGGGGATTTAGGGTTTCTTCCTGGCAAGCGGACTCACCGAGTCCCGAATATGGACTCGTCGAGTCGCCGACTTACACGTGCTCGAAATCCCATCTCTACTCGACGATTCGGGCTATAGACTCGCCGAGTCCCTCTTGAAAACTTCTAAACAAATAACATGGAAACAACATACCAGAGACGGGTCGTTACATTATTGTTAAGTTATATACTTTTTGAAAATTCTTAATGATCTTGAAAAATAGTTTCATGATTTTTTTTTTGTTAATTTAGTATTACATTTAGGTTTAACACTATAATTTATAGCTTTTATTTATTTATAAAATAATCTCTCGATTTTTTTCAAGTTAACTTAAATTGTGATTTAAATTAACCATTTAACATTATATTGTAATTAATAATTTAACTACTTTGCTTAAAATCATAAATTATACAAAAATTGTGACTTTAAAATTATAATTGTTCACATACGATAATATATTTAAACTAATAAGTTAACTATAACATTTTAAAAAGTTAAAGTCATGATTTTATAAATAGAAACAAAATATGATATTTTAATATTGTAGTTTAGTTAATTTATGATTAGAATTTAGTGTTTAGATTAATTTAACTTAATCAACCAATTTATAGTAATTATTAGAAAGAAATTGAAAATGTCATTGAGGTTTTAAATAATTGTGATGCAAGTAAAAATGTCTTTATTATAAGTATATTAGACAAATGTTCGTGCGTTGCGCAGAAACACCTATATAGTTGAAGTCTTTACAAATATATGTGTTTTTAAATATAGCAATAACATTGTTGTTCAATTTGATTTAATAATTCATATACTAAATTGATATCATATATTGATTATTTTGAATCATATGATAATATATACATCTATTATAACTACATAATCTCAATCGTTTGAATGACTTCTAACCGCCAGTTACACATGAATAAAAATTAAATATAATATATGGTTTAATATTATTTATATTTGTTGTTATTGTTAATTAAATTTTTAAAATTTATCTGCTTAATGTTTTAATTTCTATCATTATAACTATTTAAAACATCAAATATTCTTTTTTGATTTTTAAGGTCACAATATAATCATTTATATAAAGTTATTTTTAACTATTGTTATTGTAAGTTATTTTAAGCTACTTATTTAAAAAAATTTAACGATTATCAAATCTCTTTTGGAAATATTTTAGGTAAATTAAGATTACAATTTAGTTTTTGCATTTATCACTTTTAACTACTTACAAAATATTCTTTGGTTTTTAAGTGGAAATGAAATTTATATTTAAGTTGACATTGTAATCTTCTATTTAAATTAACAATTTAAGTATTTTGTCGAAACTGTTCAAAGTTGTAGCTTTAAACTGATAATGGTTTAGAGAAGCAACATATTAAATCTAATAAATTAAGTATAATACGTTAAAAGTTAAAGACATAATTTTATAAGTGGAAGTAAAGATATTATTTTAAAATTGAAATTTAGTTTATTTATGATTACACTCTAGGTTTGATATTTATTTCACCTTATTAGCCAACTTATAATCATTATTAGAAATACACTACAATTAATCACTTTTAACTATTTACAAAAAATTATTTTGGTTGTTTAGTTAAAATAAAATTTATATTTAAGTCGACCTTGTAATGGTATATTCAAATTAATAATGTAAATATTTTATACAAATTGTTTGAAAATTGTATCTTAAAATGATAATGATTTACAACCAATAATATATTAAAACTAATAAAATAAGTATAATATGTTAAAATATAAAAAACATACATTTAAAAGTAGAAGTAAATATATTATTTTAATATTGAAATTTAGTTTATGTATGATTACACTTTAGGTTTGATATTTAGTTAAGCTTATTAACCAATTTATAATTATTACATGAAAGAAATTGAAAAGTCATGAGAGTTTCAACAATTTGAATGACTTTTACCTACGCATTACTCATGAATAAAATTATATATCACATATGGTTTAATGTTATTTATATTTGTTGTTATTGTTAACTAATTTTTTAAAATTTACTTGTTTAACGCTTTAATTTCTATCATATAATTATTTAAAACATCAAACATTGTTTTTTGTTTTTAAAGGTAACAATATAATCATTTATATATAATTACTTTTAACAATTGTTATTGTAAGTTATTTTAAGCTAATTATTTGAAAACTTTTGACGATTATAAAAATAGCTTTAAGAAATATTTTAGTTAAATGGACTTAATAATTTAGTTTTTGTATTTAGAACTACAATTTATTGCTTTTAACTTTTCAAAAAATACTCATTGGGTTTTTTTAAGTCGAACTGAAATTTATATTTAAGTTGACACTGTAATGTTATATTTAAATTAACAATTTAAGTATTTGTCCAAACTATTCAAAAGTTGTAGCTTAAACTGATAATTGTTTACATACAACAATATATTAAATCTAATAACTTAAGTATAATATGTTAAAAGTTAAGGACATAACTTCATAATAGAAGTAAATATATTATTTTAACATTGAAATGTAATTTATTTATAGTTACACTTTAGGTTTGAAATTTATTTAACCTTATTAACCAACTTATAATCATTATTAGAAATACACTACATTTATCACTTTTAACTATTTACAAAATATTATTTGGGTTGTTTAACTTAAACTAAATTTTATATTTAAGTTGATCATGTAATGTTATATTTAAATTTATAATTTAAGTATTTTTTACAAATTGTTCAAAAGTTGTAGCTTTAAAATGATAATGGTTTACATCAAACCATATATTAAAACTAATAAATTAAGTACAGTATGTTATGTTAAAAAAAAAACATAACTTTATAAGTAGAAGTAAAGATATTCTTTTAATATTTATATATGATTACACTTTAGGTTTGATATTTATTTAATATTATTAAGCAACTTATAATTATTATTAGAAAGAAATTGAAAAGTCTTGAGAATTTCAAATGAATATGGTGAAAGGAAAAATGTATGGGAGTTTCAGATGAATGTGGTGAAATGAAAAATGTTTTCTTTATAAGTATACGAAGTTATATAGAGGAATTGTTTGTACATGAATCACAAATTCCGACCCTAAATTTGCTAGTTGTGACATCTCCTCCTTCCATAAAATTAATATAATTTTGCCAAGTTTCTAGCTCTGTCACATTAAGTGGTCGGACATGAAAGTAATGTCTTCTTATAGTAGTCTTAAAATCAATAATCTTGGAATCAGATTCTTTAGCTTTCTTATACAGCTCTTCTCTAATGGCAATATAAGCCTCCACCTCTTTAGCTTCAGTTACGCCTTCACTTACAGGTTTAGAAGGTTTATCTACTGTATCTGGATGAGCTTCTCCTTCACTTTCTTCAATATTGGCTTCCTCTTTAGAATTTGTAGCTGCTGCAACTTCCTCATGGGTTTTCAGTTCAGATAAAGGGTGACTTGTTATTAATTTCCTGAAGCTGTAAATTATAGAAAATAGTATGACGATGTTTAGTTTATGTTGGACCTAACAGAAGCTAGAAGATCTTCTACTAGAAAAATGTATATAAGATGTTATAATAGCGGTCCAATTGCTGATTAGGAATAAAAGGTTAAAGGTTCTGGTTTACCGGAGGACCATCAGGGGGAGCTTGAGGGATAAATTTGTAGTCATCGCGCCCACCTTGATCTAATAATGAAGTGATGCATGCATTAATGTGAACCAGTGGCCTTTCTTTAAATATAACAATAACATTGTTGTTAATTTTGATATAATAATTCGTATACTAAATTAATATAGTACTGATTATTTTGAATTATATGATAATATATACATCTATTATAACCGCATAATTTCAATCATTTAAATGAATTCTACCCGCGAGTTACACATGAATATAATTAAATATAATATATGGTTTAATGTTAGTTATAGCTGTTGTTATTGTTAATTAATTTTTTAAAATTTATTTATTTAATTTCTTAATTTCTATCATTATACTTATTTAAAACATCAAACATTGTTTTTTTATTTTAAACGTAAAAATCATAATTTTATAAGTAGAACTAAATATATTATATTAATATTGAAATTTAGTTTATATGATTAAACTTTAGGTTTGATATTTCTTTAACCTTATTAACCAACTTATAATTATTATTAGAAAGAAATTGAAAAGTTGTGGGAGTTTCAAATGAATGTGGTGAAAGGAAAAAATGCATCCTTTATAATATCGTATGATATGATTAGACGAATACTCGCGCGTTGCGCAAAAGCATCTATGTAATTAAAGTTTTTACAAATATATGTTTTTTAATATAACAATAATATTGTTGTTAAATTTGATATAATAATTCATATGATAAATTGATATAATATACTAATTCTTTTTAATTATATGATAATATATACATCTATTATAACTCCATAATTTCAATAATTTGAATGACTTGTACTGAGAGTTATACGTGAATAAATCTAAATATAATATATGATTTAATGTTATTTGTACTTGTTTTTATTGTTAATTAATTTTTCTAAAATTTATTTGCTTAATGTTTTAATTTATATCATTATAAATATTTAAAACATCAAACATTGTTTTTTTGTTTTAAAAGTAACAATATAGTCATTTATATAGAGTTATTCTTAACTATTGTTATTGTATGTTATTTTAAGCTATTTATTTGAAAATGCTTAACGGTTATAAAAATATCTTTAACAAATATTTTAGTTAAATTGAGATTACAATTTAGTTTTTCTATTTATCATTTTTAACTATTTAACAAATATTCTTTGGTTTTTTAAGTAAAACTAAAATTTATATTTAAGTTGACATTGTAATGTTATATTTAAGCTAACAATTTAAGTATTTTGTCCAAACAGTTCAAATATTGTAGTTTTAAACTGATAATGGTTTACATAACTTTATAAGTACAAGTAAATATATTATTTTAAAATTGAAATTTAGTTTATTTATGATTACACTTTAAGTTTGATATTTATTTAACCTTATTAACGAACTTATAATCATTATTAGAAAGACACTATAACTTATTACTTTTAATTATTTACAAAATATTCTTTTGTTTGTTTAAATTAAACTAGAACTTATATTTAAATTGGTCGTGTAATGTTATATTCAAATTAATAATTTATGTATTTTATACAAATTGTTCCAAAATTGTATCTTTAAAATGATAATGGTTTGCATCAAACAATATATTAAAACTAATAAATTAAGTATAATATGTTACAAGTTAAAAAACACAACTTTCTAAGTAGAAGTAAATATATTATTTTTATATTGAAATTTAGTTTATATATGATTGTATTTTAGGTTTGATATTTATGTAAACCAATTAAACAAATTATAATTATTATTAGAAAAAAATTGAAAAGTTATAGGAGTTTCAAATGAATGTAGTGAAAGGAAAAATGAATGAGAGTTTCAAATGAATGTAGTGAAAGGGAAAATGTTTCATTTATAAGTATACTAGGCGAATACTCGCGCGTTACACAAAATACAATCATATATTTGAAATCTTTACAAATATATGTTTTTTCATTATATAAATGATGTTGTTTTTAGCTCTTATATAATAAATCTTATAATAAATTGGTATAAACATTATTTGTTTTGAATTATATAATAATATAGACATCTTTTAAAATTATATAATCCAAATTCTTTTAATGACCTCTACCTGCAGGTTACTTATAGTTATTTAAAACATCAAACATTGTTTTTGTTTTTAAATGTAATAATATAATTTTTTATATAATTTTACTTTTAACTATTCTTGTTGTAAATTATTTAAAATAATGTATTTGGATACTCTTAATTATTTTAATTTGGTTTCCGAAATTTATCTTTTTAAAAATTTATTTGATGAATATTGTTAGTTTCTCTGATTGTAATTATTTAAAATAATAAACATTGTTTTTGTTTTTAAAGATAACATCATAATTTTTTTTTATATAATATTGGTTTTAATTATTCTTATTATAAGTTATTTTTAAACTACTTATTTTAAAATTCTTAATGATTATAAAAAATAGTTTCATGTTTTTTTTGTTAATTTAGGATTACAGTTTAAGTTTAATACTATAACTTATAACTCTTAACTATTTATAAAGTAGTATCTCATTCAAAAAAACAGAAATTTTGATTTAAGTTTACCATTTAGCATTATTTTAAAATTAATAGTTTAAGTATTTTGCATTAAGTCATACATTATACAAAAGTTGGGACTTTAAAATGATGATTGCTTCCATATAACGACACATTTAGAGTAATAAGTTAATTATAAAATGTTAAAAATTTGAAGTCATAAATTTATAAAGAGAAATAAATATGATATTTTAATATTGAAGTTTAGGTAATTTATAATTAGAATTTAGTTTTTACATTAATTTAACATTATTAACGAATTTATAATAATTATTCTAAAGAATTTGAAAAGTGATGGAGGCTTCAAATGCATGTTGTGCAACTAAAAATCCCTCCTTTATAAGTATAATAAATATAACAATAACGTTATTAAATTTGATATAATAATTTGTATACTAAATTGATATAATATATTGATTATTTTGAATTATATGATAACATATACATCTATTATAACTGCATAATATCATTTGTTTGAATGACTTCAAACCGCCAGTTACACATGAATAAAATTAAATATAATATATGGTTTAATATTATTTATAGTTGTTGTTATTGTTAATTAAATTTTTAAAATTTATTTGCTTAATGTTTTAATTTCTATCATTATAATTATTTAAAACATCGAACATTTTTTTTTATTATAAATGTAACAATATGATCATTTATATAGAGTTATTTTTAACTATTGTTATTGTATGTTATTTAAAGCTATTTATTTAAAAACTTTTAACGATTATAAAAATATCTTTAGGAAATATTTTAGTTAAATTCATATTACAATTTAGTTTTTGCATTTATCACAACATTTTATCACTTTTAACTATTTAAAAAATATTCTTTGGTTTTTTAAATGGAACTGAAATTATATTTAAGTTGGCATTGTAATGTTATATTTAAATTAACAATTTAAGTATTTTGTCCAAACTGTTCAAAAATTGTAGCTTTAAACTGATAATGATTTAGATAAGCAACATATTAAATCTAATAAATTAAGTATAATACATTAAAAGTTAAAGACATAACTTTATAAGTAGAAGTAAAAATATTATTTTAAAATTAAAATTTAATTTATTTATGATTACACTCTATGTTTAATATTTATTTAACCTTATTAGCAAACTTATAACCATTATTATAAAGACACTACAATTAATCACTTTTAACTATTTACAAAATATTTTTTAGGTTGTTTAAGTTAACCTAAAATTTATATTTAAGTTCATCCTGTAATGTTATATTTAAATTAATAATTTAAGTATTTTATACAAATTGTTCCAAAATTATATCTTTAAAATAATAATGGTTTACATTCAACAACATATTAAATATAATAAACTATGTATAATATGTTAAAAGTTAAAAAATATAACTTTTAAGTAAAAAGTAAAGATATTATTTCAATATTGAAATTTAGCTTATATATGATTGGTTTGATATTTATTTAACCTTATTAATCAATTTATAATTATTATTAGAAAGAAATTGAAAAATCATGGGAGTTTCAAATGAATGTAGTGAAAGGAAAAATACTTTATTTGTAAGTATTAACTAGTCGAATCCCCACATGTTGCACATGAATATAATTATTTAATTAAAATAAAAACATTTAACAAATTCTGATTTAATATTTATACATGTAAACCAGTGTCAATAGTAAAAGAAACTCTATAGTTAATATATTACTTTGATGAATTTTAGTAAATTTGTGTCATTAGATATTTCTCCTATTAATTCATGATTTTATAGACCATTTTATGTTGTGTAAATTATATATCAAAAATATGTTGATTCCTATGTATAAAAACCAAAGTAGTATGAAAAAATAAATACTACAACTTTTGATAATTTTATAGAACGTTTTAAGTTGTGGAAATTATGTATAAACGTATGTCGGTTTGTATATAAAACAAATAACAAATAATATGAAAAACACTACAGTTTTTAATAAAATAAAAACACTATAACATTATAACATTTATATCAAACAAAACTTATCAAACACTTATAAATCATTCAAAATGAATATTTAGAAATCAACATACATTTGATATATAAAAACATTGTTATAAAAAATTTGTGTTGAAATAATCATTGATACGATAAAACTTATTTTTTTCAACTCTTTCATTTTGAATCACAAATCTTTTCAAACATATGATTTTTTTAATCATACTTACTTATATACTACTAACATAGCTACAATGTGCATTGTAAATAAGTGGGAAATAGAAAAAGCATTGCACATTAATAACCATAAGTTTAAAAAACTTTTGAATGTAGTGGAAAATATAAAGGCAAATTACATTAAATTTGAAGTCATAATTACATTTAAATAAAAAAACTATTGAGTTTTAGTGGGTGTTTTAAACTCTTGATTTCCACCTAATCATACATACTTATAAAGCTAGCATTTTTTCTTGAATATCATGCATTTGAAACCCCCATTCTTTTTTCTTTTCACCACGTTCATTTGAAACTCTCATGACTTTCAAATTCT